GCAGCTGTTCTTTTTGGTGTTGTTCAAAAACGTAATTTTTATGTTGGCTTTTAGTAAACTTTAGTTTAATTTAAAAGACATCACAACGGATTTAAAATACTCATAATAAAAAAAGCAAAACATAAAATGCTTCAAGGAGCCAAGCTATAAACATAAAAGATAAAGAATGGAATCGAGATAAATAAGTTGTATTTATATAGCTAAATATATTGCCTTGGGTTTTGGTAAATTTTTAAAGCTGTGAGTTCAATAAATGAAACATACCAAATAATTGTTTTTAACAAAAGAATGCAGCATCATTATATTATGATAATTGGATAATGAATCAATTCAACTTTCGACTTTAGATTTTAGGGAGGGGTCTTTAAGAGGGCTTTAGATTTGAAGTCAGGTTTAATTGGTGAGAAAACAATTAAAATTTTTATTAAAAAAGATCAAAACAAATCAAATATACAACGTAATATATATTTAAAAGAAAATTACAAAATTAAAAAAAAAAAAACACCGAAACAAAAAATTACAAAACTAAAAAAAAAAAAAAACCGAAGAAAAAGCAGCAACTAAAAAGTCATAAATATCTCTACTGATAGAAGACATTTACAACCTTTTGTTTGCTGTTTTTTCTTCGGTGTCTGCCAACACCCCGGTATGGATGAGCCCTCCATGTAAAGGAGGGCTCATCTTTTTTAATCATAATTTTTGTATTCTTTGAATGATAAGGAGTCTAAAGTTACAAATAGAAGAATATAATAAAAATTATACATTTGCAATTATTTAAAAAAAAAATTAGCATAACCTCACCATTTTCATTCAAAACAGAAGATGCTAAAAAAAAAAAAGAGAGAGCAAATTAATAAGGGTTAAACATGCAACATTTTGTATTTTAATAAAAATATAGGACAATAATGCAACCAGTTCAAAAGTGTCATATTTATTAATTTATTTTTTCCACCTATTGCACATATATCTACAGCATATTGCTACATGCTATTAAATACAGCATATTGCTGAAATAGTTTCTTGCCATAAAATAATGAGCAGAAAAATTGCCTAACAGAAAGTCTATAATTGAAGAACTGAGATAATGTAACATGATTTCTAACCAGTGTGGCACGCTCAGAGTTATGCACCAATTGATTATGCCAACCAGCATCACCTCTTGGGAAAAATAGCGGATAAACCATAGGATCCAAGTTGGCTGACATACTTGATACAATTTTTAAAGGATGACCTCTTGGGTAAATAACAACTTCCCTGGAAGTTGGGGGAGCACCATCTTCGCCAACAAATACAACTGCAACTTCATCATGTGAAGGTAGATTATAACGACGTCTATCACCGCCTTTAAGTAAAGACATTTTTACAACAGAAGCTGAGCGACCTTCTATAGCCGCCTTACGAATTTCTTCATCTTCTACTTTAGCCATGTTTTTAAATGCAAGAGCAAATGGACTTTGTTCCATAAATATAGTTTGCAATTGAAACATTAAATCACGTAAACAAAGATCATTACCACAGTGTTGCACTCTAAAATTTAGTGCAGCAAGTAGATCATAAAAATATAGTTGAGAATATATTGGTGGAATATCTTGATCTGGCCTAAGATTACCTACACGATGAAAAATCTGGCCACATATTTTAAAACATGGAAGCCCATGATTCATTGGTTGAACTACTTTTGCTGTAAAAGAAGCAAAAGAAAGGCAGGCATTATAATTTCGAATATGTTTTAAAAAATTAGCATTAGCATTACGATCTACATAACTCCCTGTAAACAAATCCTGTAAAGCTTGTGTAATTGGTAAAAGTGGAGACAAAGCTACCTTACCATTATGGCAACATAGAAAATGTGTTTCATCTGGAAATTTCTTAGCACCACAGTGCTGACAAATTAAATTCATTTCTCCTAAATAATTATAATCTGGAATAGCATTACTTCTCGCTATAGAATACATTCGTCCTTGTTCAACAGTTCATTTTGGCGACGATTAACATTATCTCGATCGAGCCTATTTTTTTCATTTTGGCGACAATTAACATTATCTCGATCGAGCCTATTTTTTTCATTTCGGCGACGATTAACATTATCTCGATCGAGCCTATTTCTTTCATTTTGGCGACGATTAACATTATCTCAATCGAGTCTATTTATTTCGTTTTGGCGACGATTAACGTTTTCTTGATTAAGCCTATTTCTTTCATTTTGTAAATGATTAATTTCATATCGCCTAAGTCTATTTCTTTCATTTCGTCTACGACTATTTTTAACACGCCTTATAGCACTTACATCATTTTGTAAATACATAACTTCATCTAGTCTATCATTCATTTCAATGTCATCATTTTGATTAAACATATTTATCAAAGCAACACTAATTATTTCTTTTTTTTACTACTCTAAAGTTAACAATAAAATAAAAAAACTTAATAAATAACTAAAAAAACCTTACTCAAAAAAATAAAAAAAAAAATCTCAAAACAAAAATATAAAAAATCCAAACTAATGCAAAACAAAATTAATTTGCCATCATCAAAAGTAATACAGGTTTCTTAAGTTTATTTGATAAAAGTTAAGAAAAACCTGCAACCATATTAGCAAAAACTTAATACAAAAAGTTAAAATTTATTCTGTTTCTAATAAAGAAAAAAAAATTTAGAAACAAACAACATATCTTCGCAGACAGCGTTATAAGGCATGCGTTGGGAGAAAACATTGAACAAAACGTGTAATAAAACTTATTAACGTGTTATGTACAATAGAAAACGGGTTATTAACGCAGGTTTATAAATTTTTTTCCCCCAACACACTATTACGCTTCCGCAACTCCAAGGATATACATAGTTATATATATATATATATATATATATATATATATATATATATATATATATATATATATATATATATATATATATATATATATATATATATATATATATATATATATATATATATTTATATATATATATATATATATATATATATATATTTATATATATATATATATATATATATATATATATATATATATATATATATATATATATATATATATATATATATATATATATATAGAACATATATATAGAACATATATATATAGAACATATATATATAGAACATATATATATATATATATATATATATATATATATATATATATATATATATATATATATATATATATATATATATATATATATATATATATATATATATATAGAACATATATATATATATATATATATATATATATATATATATATATATATATATATATATATATATATATATATATATGTATATATATATATATATATATATATATATATATATATATATATATATATATATATATATATATATATATATATATATATATATATATATATATATATATATATATATATATATATATATATATATATATATATGAACTATTTATTAGCGAAAACATATGAAAACCAAAATTTTTTAAATAACATATATAGTATATTTGATAAACAAACCTCTACAATTTTTTTGGTTCAACAACTTGATTATGATTAATAACAACTCTGTAGATATAAATTTTCTAATGATCTAAATCTTTATAAATAAGATATTTTATTTTATATCTTAATTTTAAATTAAATAAATTATATATATCTTAACTATAAATTAAATCTTTATAAATTAGATATAAATAGAAAAACAAACATATAATAACACAATTATATCCTAAACCAAAATGCAATCATGCAAGGCAAATTATTAAACTTTTTGAAAAGAAAAAAAAACATTTTTTTTCAAAGAGCCAAAGTATTAACAATACTATAGATAAATTTTATTTATAACAAAATGTTGTCATGGCTTTTATCCCAATTATTAAAAGCATTTGAAAATATGAAACTACCCATAAATATCTTTTAATGGTAGACACCATCTAAGAATTATAGTAATCTATATTTTCAAAATTCACATGTATAACACGAAGCTTTAAATTTAAAAGTACAATTTAAAAAAGATTACAATAAACTAATTACTTATAAAATTTTAAAAAGATTTTATAAATACTTAATGTCTACTTACACATTTTTAAAAGATTTTGAAAACTTGAAACCATAAATTTAAATTTTAAAAAACTGAAACTTTAATTCTACCTCAAAGAAAACAGATATATATTGAAAAGTATTTATTTCTTTTTAAAAATTTAAAAATGCTTTTAAACTTACTCCCTCTAATATAATTATATAATATATATAGTATATATGATAAATAAACCTCCACAATTTCCTTAGTTTAACAACTCGATTATGATTAATAACAACTCTGTAAACATGAATTTTCTAATAAGCTAAATAAATTACAGATAGACAAACATAAATAACACAATAAAATCCTAAACCAAAATTCATTCATGCAAGACAAATTATTTTATATTTATAGAAGAGCCAGAAACATATTTTTTTTCAAAGAGCAAAAGTATTAACAATATTATAGATAAATTTTTTTTATAACAAAATTTTCAATAAAAATTAAATTAAGATAAATTTATAACAAAATGTTGTCATGGCTTTTATCCCAATAACCAAAACTATGTGAAAGCATGAAACTACCCATAAATATATTTTAACGCTAGACACAATTTAAGAATTAAAGTAATCTATAACACGAAGCTTTAAATTTAAAATTACAATTTAAAAAAGATTACAATAAATTAATTACTTTTAAATTTAAAAAAATTTTTAGATTACCTATAATTTTAAGCTACTAAAGATTATCTACTTAATGTCAACTTGGACATTTTGAACTCGTACCATGAAAGGTACGAGTTCAAAATGTCTGTAAAATACACTTTTTAAGACTTTTCTTTACCGCGTGCTTTCTTAACAAAATGTTAAGAAAGCACGCGGTAAAGAAAAGTCTTAAAAAGTGTATTTTACAGGTACAGAACCGTACCGTAACTATAAAACAATACGCGTAACTATGCGCATTAATAATAAAATTCATTCGGCTATTCATTATTAAGATAACAACAAATGCATTAAAAGTAGTTGAGTTAAAAATGTTTGATATAAAAATTAAAAAAAAAATTATATACCTATAGACAATACTGTTTTAATTTCTGAAATTTTATTTGCAATATCCATTTCTTAAAGATTTAATTTTATATTCCATGCCGAAATTTCTTTTCCTTGCAAGTTTGCAGAGCTTTGATGCAAGCTTATATTAAATCGTATGTTGTTAGGGCCCTCAAAAGGAAAACCATGAAAGCAGGCTATCAAATTTTTGCTAAAAAATATTTTTTCTAAATAGCCAATTTTGTCTAGCCAATTGTCTTGTCAAAGTCTTGTCAAAGTCTAAGTAATTGTCTAGCCAATTGTCTTGTCAAATGTCTTGTCAAAGTCTAGCCAATTTTGTAACGAACGATGTTGTATAGTTGTAACAATAAAGTTTTTGAAATTTTCAGCTCCCGTAATTGAGAATCCAACTTTTTTTAAAAACTCCGCACGTGACTCGGCATTTTCCCCATTCGATAGCTCTTCATCTTCTTTATTCAAACGTCCTATGTCTAGCCCAAATTCACCTCCTAACAAATCAAGGTTTGCTTCCATTCTTTCTACAATAAGATTTTCCAGGCCAACATGTTCGATGTAAGTATCATCCAAAACTTCCAACTCTCTTTTGAAATTTTCATTTAGGTTTATATCGATAAACATCTGTATTATATCTACAAAAAAAATTTTATGTAAATACTTGACAAAAAAATTTTTAAATAACATAAACATCTTTCAAAAATTTTTTTTTTGAAAAAGTTTTTGCATGTAATTTAAAATACTTAAATTTTTATTTATCTTTTTTTTATTTACTTAAAGTTTTCAAACTATTGTTTATATAGTTTAGAAAATTCTGGGTGTTTTTTAATACATAACACATTTAATAAATTTGTTATGTATTAAAACAGCATTAAAAAAAACTGAGATAAACCAGGAGCTTGTTTAAAAACAGATAAACTGCGCAAAAAGCTGATAAGATAAGCAACTCACTTCGCCATGCTCAATTTAAATAAGCTTTTCTCAGCTTTTGCATTCAATTACCTTGCTTAAATCTTGAGAACATATTATGCAAGTCTTCCCGGGAAAGGTGTGTGGTTTTTCATATCGTACAACCACGAAAACATTTTTTAATTTAGACAATTTGATCATGGCCGTTTGCGCCATAGCATTTTTTTGCTTCGCCTTATCTAATTTTGTTGCTGAATGTAACAAACACATTAAAAAAACAAAAATAAAAACAGTACACAAATAATTTAAACTATTAATGTGTTTTAATTTTTTCTATTTTAATCTCTATTTGTTTTGTTAGTTTTGTTTTTTTTGTTTTTGAAACTTTTTCACAATTGATTATTATAAAACGGCCGTGTTCAAGTTGTCTAAAATGAGGTACTTGCGTGTGGTCTTACAAGACAAAAAACCGCACGCCTTTCCTGGGAAGGCTTGTTATGCATTACAATATTCACCAGCTAAATGATTGTTAGGACTAGATATAACTTTTATAAATTGTAGAGTCACTTATCAATAGGTTTTGAAACAGTACATAGCATTGATTTATATGCAATATTTTATTAACAGTTTACTTTTAATTCAATTATTCTGAAATATAAAAGACTTTTTTATCAAAGATTTTTTTCCAATACTATTCATTTCTATTTTCCCATTGTTAAATAATTAATAAAAATGTCTTTATATAATTTTTACTTCAAGTTCATGAACTCCATTTAGATATATCTTTGGAACTTTTTAATTATTATAAACTAAAACTTTGAAATTTATTCACAGAAGATAGGTGACGTTACCAATAATTAATTTTAATATACTAATTGTATGGAACTACCATACAATTAGTATGAAAAATAATTACTACCATTGGTAGTAATGCACAGACTGAATAGAATAAAGTAAAATATCCAAATAAAAAGAATTTTGGAATAAAATTATAAATAATTAATTTAATAAAAAAAATTAATTGTGGAAAATAAAATTCGAATATACGTCCTGTTTAACTTGTGTTTTATTAAACATAAAATATGGTTGTTTATTAGTTTAAATAATAAGTTAACCATATCTAATTTTAGAATCTAAATACGTTATATGTTAAATTTTGATAATAAAATAAGATTTTGATGATGATACTTACACAAAACTCTTTTTTATTAATAACTAGTTTTAGACTCTCAAAAATAATTTTTTTTAAATTAAAGAACAATGCGAATTACACAAGTAAATGTCGTAGAGTGGGTGAATATGAGGTAAATTGATAAAATGTAGTCAACTAATATTATGTGTATATGTAAAACAGAAGATATAAGTAACTGTAAAAATCTATTGGAAATTGAAGAATAGAAATTTACCCTCCACTTCTTTTACTTGCTCTTCTAATTTCACTTCATCGATTTCAATGCTTTTTCCAAATTCTCTGTCTGGATAAAAATTATTTCAGCAAATGAATAAAGGTTAAAAAAATTATTATTTTTCTTAACTTTACATACAATTTTTTAATTGTAAAGAATTTTTTATTAAAGATTATTTTATTAACTATAAGTCAAAATACCTTCCACAGCATTTCGCATCAACTTTTTCTTTACCTTAAAAACAAAATTATAAGTGTAAAAAAATTATATTTTAAAATAAGTGGATTCAATAATTGTCTACGGAAAAAAAATTTGAACTCTCTTTTGCTAACAGTCAAAATAGCGATTTTATTGAAGTAATTAGCAATTATATATATATATATATATATATATATATATATATATATATATATATATATATATATATATATATATATATATATATATATATATATATTTGCTACTAAAAATAACTTTTTATGTTGCTAAGATTGCCTAAAACTCTCCATTAAACAAAAAAAAAAATTTAATTTTGTATTTTTATAATTGCAATTAAGAAAAGAAACACATTTTTGTTAGAAATTTTTATTATGTCTTTGTCTTTTTTGAAATTCTTTTACTTGATCTTTTCTCAATGAATATGTATTTTTTTTTTGCAAATTAATAATAAAAAATATTATTAACAATACGAGATCTATATTTGATTCTCCATTTTTGGTGGTTTTTTATTATTAAAATTGAAACTGCTAGAACAAATCTTTAAAAATTGTTTTAAAAATTTTTAATTGAAAAAGAATGACTGCAATGTTTTATTAGAATAAGAGAAATAATATAAAATACTAAAAAGATGACAAATAAAAATGACAAAGACAGAAGTTGAATTTAATATATAGGTTCTTCTCTTTATAAAGTAACGTTTATTGATCATAAGTTTAACATCAAAATCTTATTGTCAATTTTTACCATTGTTACTTGCTTTAGTATATATATATATATATCTGTTCCATCTTCAGAAAGCTGACAGTAGTATTTATGTAGACAACTCAGCAATATCTTGCATAATATTATTTAAAGATTATCAAAATTGTAGTAAATATTTTCTGGGAAAATCTGCCAAAATCATTTTACAAATGCATAATTCTAAAAGACTCACAAAAAGTCTACTACTGGTCATTTAACTATACTTACTAAAACCTAGCTCCAAAGAGTCACTTTGTAAATTGGAACTATAAACAAATGTAAAGCCTTCCTCAAGGAAATCATGCATAAGAAATACAATATCTTGTAGTGTTTCAATTAAAGCACAAGAAAATTGTTTGGTTAATGTAAAGTATTTATCAAATTTTATTTTGATCAAATTTCAGTACAATTTGCAATTTCTCTATAAAGTGTGGGTTTGTTATTACCGTTCAAAGAAGCATTGCTTAGTTTTGTTGGATAAATTAAATTTCTGCTTTGAATTAAGTATGATAAATAACTTATAAAACATTGATAAAAATTGTGCTGCGTTATTTTTTTCAGAAAAATAACTCTAAATTACAGCTGCAGTTGTTTCGTCAAATATTGTCAATGTTGACAACTTGTTTGTTGTTTCCAAATATGTAACTTGATAATTAATTTTACTTGCTTTTTCTTGCCTGTTTAATAATTAATCTTTTAATAAACTTTAAGAAATATATTCCCTGCAATGTAGTCAGCAGTAACTTCAACAAGAGAAAAAAACTAAAACGGAGTTTATCAAATACCATGTATGTTTTAAACACTCCTTTTCTAAACTAAATGATAAAACAATAATTTTTTATCTCCAGTATTTGCTTTATAAAACTATAAAAATGCATTAACATTTGTAGAATGGTTATCGGTAACAACAGCTCTTATCTTAAATTCAGATTGGTGCATTGAGGTAATACACTCATGAAAATTTTGAACATTGAAAAAATTTCTTTTTTTAAACATAAACCTATTATGTCAACTTTAGGTGAGGATTTCAAAACATAAGAATAAATTTTTTAAGCCCTACAATCATAAAAACAAAAACAAATTCTTTATAAAGATTATTTTCTCAATCTTCATCAAACTGTTTACCAATTTACGCTGCTTTTTGGAAGTACATCTTACCCACAAAAAACAAATAATCTCTTAATACCAAATTTTTTGTCAATGATTTTTCTTATATATTATAGTTTTTCAATTTTTAATTTCCACCACTGCGAAACCATTCAAATAAACAAATATGATAAGCATTTATAAGGCAATGAAAAAAATTATAATTTTATTAACAGCTATTGATTCCAAAACAGATAG